ATTTTTTATATTTTTTGTTTACTTTTTTTTTATTCATTATATTATATACTTTTTTTATTTTTTTGATGAGTTTTAATAAATTATTTTAAATGGGAATTTTAATTTTATATAGGAAATTATGTGGGTGTGGGAAAGTTCCAAAAAGAGTGTTTGGAGGGGTTTAATTAAGTTTTTTTTTTTTTTTTTTTTTTAAAAAAATTTTTATTTTTGTTTTTTTTTTTTTATTATTTTGTTTTTATTACATATTTTAAAAGACTTATTATTATTATTGTTTTATTATTTTTTGTACATATACTTTTTAAATATTTCTTTAAAATTGATTTCAATATTTCTATTTGATTTTTACAATCACAAAATGAAGTTAGTATTAATAATATTGGTATTATTAATAGTAACAAACAATTGCATTGCAATTTATAATGATGATTACTATGGAGATTGCAATTATATAAATCAAGATCAAAACAGTGAACCATTAACCATTTACATTTTAACATTTAGCAATAAAACAAATAATATCTTTATATCAAGTAATCAAATCAAAGACAACTCAACCACAACTTTATTATATAGACAAAATAAAAAAAATTTTAATCAGTTTGAATTTATAACAATAGCAAGTAATGACTCTGTAAGTAAAGTTAACTTTTAAAATTTAGGAAATTTTAAAATTAATACCAATATAAAATTATTATTATTCATTAGATTTTAGTTCAAACTGTTGGTGGGGAGCCATTTTTAATTTCAGATATTAAAAAAGAATCATTTTCTTATAGATGGGATAAACCCTTATATCACCCATTTTTAACTTATCAATGTAAAAATAATTTTGCAAATATTACAGCAATGACCTTATCGTCTACCAGCACAATTAAAAATAATAGTAGTAATAGTACAAATAATAATAATAGTGTATTTACAATTTTATCAGGATCAATATTTGGGGTTGATGAAGAGAAAAATTTTGACCATGAAACAAACATTGCAATAAACCCAAATGAAATTCCATCATTCAAATCTTCTTTTGATAGAGCCAACTCCATCATTTATTCATATATAAAAGAAAAAGATAAAGAAAATTATTATATAGTTATAACAGATTTAAACTTTAAAAACATTACTTATAATCAAATAAATACCGGGTTAGATTTTACTACAATCAGCCTATCAGCAAATAATAACACAATAGTTTTATCTGGATATGATCAAAAATCAAACACAACAAAATATTATAGCGTAATAATAAACAATGGCACTGCATCCCAATTAAACTCTTCAACAACAGATATTAATAAAAATTCTAAATCAAATTTAAATGCTTCAATTAAATTATTACTAGAAAAACCTATTAAAATTACAAATACTATAAAATCATCAAATTCAAACTATTTATTATCTTATTCAAGTATTTCAAATAATTTATTAGTTTTCAATATTGCAACAATGAAATTCAATATTTACAATATTACAATTAAAGGTGTTCATAAAGATATATCAGATAAGAATGATGACTACGAATCCTTTTTAATCCAAGATATGTTTGCAAGTGGTGGAAAGCCTCCAATTACCAATACAACTTTATCAATTGTAAATAATAGTCCAGCTAAAATATATCATAGAAAATCTTTAATAATCTTTGTAGTTTGTATTGGATTTGCCGTGTTGCTATTCGGATTTTTAGGGTTTTATGTATATATTAGAAAGCGTAGAAATAATAGATTTAAAAAAATTTCAGAAATAAAGGAAAACAAATACCCAGAAGATAATATTACAATTTTATTAAAAAACTATAGATAAAAAATAGTAAAATAAATATAAAAACCAATAAACATTAAATTATAATCTTTTTTTTTTATTAAAAAGATTTATTTTTTATTTTTTTTAAGAGTTTTTTATTTTCTCTAAAAGATTTAACGAACCCTTTACATTAATCTGCATATTTAATAACAGTTGTTCAATTTTAGGTACAAATTCTTTAATCTAGAAAAAAAAAAATAAAATGATGATTAGTATGTTGATCTATAATAATAAAAAAATACTATAAATAATAATTGTTACATTTTTTTGATAACTTGATATAGTAGTTAGCATTAAGGTGGCAAATTTTTGGTTTTTCGACAATGGTTTTGAAGCTATCGTTAAAACCTCAAATAAATCTGAAAATATTTTTTCGTTTAATAAAAGTTTTAATTGTATTATAGTTGTAAAAATCCAAATAACTGATTCATTCCAAATAAAATGTTGATTTTTTTGAATTGCAACCAATAATGATGAAACAAATTGGATTTTAACAGTGCTATCAATGTCCTTAATTTGAAGTAGTTTGATTATAATTTCTTTTTGAGGTGCTTGAAATTCTTCATTTCTAACTATTAGCGGAACCATGAATGACCCAATGAATGCTGTGTGATGTTGCTTAAAACAACTACCGAGTAGATCTAAAAACATTCTTTCGCTTTTATTTTTAACATCCAACGCTTTTGGTAAAAGTAAAGATGAAAAAAACTGGGATAGTGATAAAAAGCTAAAATCCAATGATATAATTGTTGATATAAACTGAACAAATTGATCTTCACTGTAGGTATTTGCCTCTAAAAGTTTTATAGCTTCACCAACATCACTAATTAAAAGTAATGGTTCAAGAAGATTTCCAAGATTATTATTTGTATTATTATCATTTCTAATAAAATCTTTGATTGCAATGATTGATGTGATCTCTTCATTTTGTAATTTTCTAATAGATGTTGACTCTAATGATTCAGTTATTGATTGCTTTGTCTCCATTTGTTTGTCTAATGATGGTGATGATGCAATATGATCTTCATACTCTTCTTGATGAGAAGAGGTCTTATTTACTGATGGTATTCTTTCTTTTGGCTCTGACTCTGTGGTAATACCTTTTGTAAGCATTGATTCAATGTCCATGTTTATATTATTAAACTCTGGTATTAATGTTTGGAACTGAACTGACCAATCTTGTAAATGTAAATCATCTTGCTTATGATTATTAAATTGATAAAATTCTTTATCATCCAGCATTAAATCATTTATATTGGTCAATAGTTTGTCATTTAAAAGGTGCTGCTCTGTTCTGGAATTCTTTGGTGTCAAATCTTGATGTCTATATGGGTTTTGGTCACATTGATCCGTGTTGTTTAGAAAAGATGATATTCTATTATTACCAAACTCTGTGTCTATTATTTCTTTAATTGCGTTACTATAGTAGTTGTATTGTTGTTCAGCGACCTCTTGATCAACGTTCATTTTGTTTTCGTCTTGTTTTTTCATTTCCTTATCTTCTCTTTCATTCATTTCTATATTTAGCTTATTAAGTTTTTCACCAATAAATTTGTTAAACTCTTTATCAAATGTTACAGTGAATGGATAATAAATACCAATTGATTCTATTTGTTGAAAATTTTCCTCTTCAACACCAATATCAATACTACTACTATTATTGCTATTATTATTGTTTTGATTACTATCTATTAAAAAGTCTATATCTGATAAGATTGAGTCTATTATAAAACTGAATAAATAATCTTCTTTATAAATTGAATAGCCTTTATTATTTTTTAAATATGATTTTATTATTAAATTCTTTAAATGATATATTGGAATTTTCATAGTATTGGATGGTGAGTTTTCATTATTTACACATCTTAATAATGTTAAAAACCAATTTAATAGTTCGATTTGTAATTCTTTATTTAATTGTAATATAAATAAATTATTATTATTGCCATTATTACTATTGTTACTATTATTACTATTATCTTTTAGTAGATAGTTAAAAAAATGTACCCAATTCCATACACTTTCATTTGATGTTATTATTCTTTGTAATAGTGATATAATATCGTTATCTATTTTTCTTTCACTAAATTCATTTAATTCATCTTGTAAGTTATCGTCATCATTTGGGAAATATTGTTGGTTTTGATGCTGTTGTTTATTAATATTATTTAATATGGTTTTAAATATAAACTGATAGAGGTTTTCTTCTTTATTCATTTAAAACAAAATAAATAAAAAAATTAAAAAGATTTTTTATTTTTTTTTAAAATTTTTATTTTTTTTTTATTTTTTTTATTTTATATTTCACACACCACCATGAATTATTTCTGTGTTTTAATTTAAAAATAAATATTTACTATTTAGGTAAAATGTTCATTGGATAAAATTTATTTATTTACAAATTTATTTAAATTTTTAAATCTAAATTAGATTTATTTTTTCTGATAAAATGATAGCATCATTATTTATATTTAATACTATATTATTATTATTATTATTTACAAGATTAAGATCATTATTTTGATTATGATTGGGGGTTACATTTGATGTTTTATAATATATATAAAATTTTGTTAAATCATAGGTCTTTTTTCCAAATGGTTTAATTTTATTTTTTTTTTCATATTTGATACCTAAAAAGAAATGTTTTGTATTATATTTTTGAATTATTTCGTCAACACCAAGATTCCACTTTTAAAAAAAAAATTAATAATATGTTTGAAAAAAAAATAAAAAAGAATTAAATAAAATAATACCTTTTTGAAATGAATATATTTACAAATTAAAATCCCAATAAATATAACACCATATATTATAGAAAGTATAACAGGGTTTATAATTCTAACAAATAATATAATTAAAAAAATAGCCATTGTGGTAATCAGAGATAAAAATAACTTTGTATTGAAACTCCATTTTTTATCAAGTTCTTTTTGCATTGATTGAATAAATGATAAATATTCTTTAAATTCCAACCCAGTTTCTGTTATTTCATTCGGTAGTTTCAAGGGTATAAGAAGCTCTTCGTTTTTAATTGTTGGAATTTTATATTTATTCATATTATTATTTTCACATTAATTTTTTATTTTTTTATTTTTTTTTTTATAAATAAATATGCAAAATAAAAATAAAATTTTTTTTCTTTTTCTTTATAAACGGTTTTGATTTTAAACCTCTGGTAACATAAGGAAATCCACCCAGATATTTATAAAATTGCTCGAAATTTAAAAAAGTTTTTGAAAAAACTAAAAAAATATTCACATAATTATTTTTATCTATTTTTTTTTATTTTTTATTTTTTAAAAAAAAACAAATTAATTTTTAATTAATGGTGTTTTTTCTGTTGATTTTTCTTGTTGTAAAAGTGGTTGTGGGTCTATTGATATATTATAATTGTTTGAATTGATAATGTTATCGACTTGTTTATCATATAAAATATCACATACAATATTTGAATATTGTTGTTGTTTTTGTTGTTGTTGTTGTGGTGGTAAGAGTGGGGGCATTTGATGGGATACCGGATACATTGGTAGATGATGCATTGGTATGGTTGGACTTGAATAATAAATGTATATTTTAGAGGTTGTTTTTCTATCTTTATCTTTAGAGTGATGAATTTTCCTTTCAATTCTAATACCTTTACTTGCATAGAAATGATTGAGTTCATTTATTTTATCACTAAATTTATTATTCCACTATGAGGAAAAAATAATATAAATTAGTATTTTATCAATATGATTATTTTATAAAATAATTATTGTAATAATATTACTCTGGAAAAAAGATAAATTATAATAATAATATATAATACAATGCAGACTATTAAACCTATAATTAAAAATAAATGACTGGCAACATTGGTCGCGAATAGAATACCAAATATTATACCAATTACAATCATTGGTATAGCCAAAAAAAATCTAAATCTTTTTCTTGAATCTATTTCTGATTTACATGACATTAAAATATTTCTATATTCACTAAATGTTAATAAATGACTTAATTCTATTGGTACACTATGAGGTTCTATAATCTCCTCTCTATATCGTGATCCAATGAAATTTTCTTGTGTTGGAACTTCATATACTAGTGTCGTCATTAACCCAATTATTTTTATTTTAAATATATATTTAATTAATATATATTTATAATTTAATTTGTAATTTAAATAAAAAATAAAATAAAAAAAAAAAAAACTTTTATGACATAGCTATTTAAAAAAATTTATTAAATAAATAAATAAATAAATAAATAATTTTAACCAGGGTTTATTAATATAAAATATTTCAATGTTATAAAACTCGCAAAATGATCAAAACCAAAAAAAAAAAAAATATTTTTTAAAAAATATTTTTTTATTTTTATTTTTTTTTTTCCATCCTTGCTTACCAGCCAAATCTAAATTTACTAAATTAAAATTTGTAAAACTATCTATTATTATAAATTTAGGAATAAGAAAAAGGAAAATAAAAATCAGTAAATGATACACATATTTTACAGTATTATTTAAATTTGCTTTTTTTAAAATTTAACCCTATTTCCAATATGGTTTTGGTGTTGTGGGTTTTTTGTAGATTGCATTTCAATCATAGTTTTCTCCGAGAGAATAATGGCAAAATTAGATTAAACTTGATTTATAATAAAAAAAAGGAAATGAGATAAATATAGGTATTATTAAAGTATGTATTTATTTATTACATATTTTTTTAATCTTCATTTTCTTGGTGAATGATTGCACTTGATGATGGTTCATCATCATTATAATTTATGTTATTATTGTTACTAAGTAATGATTCTTTTTGTTCTTTTTTTGATTCATATATTGAGGGAATTGATTCCATTTCGACCACATAATCGTTATCTCTTGATAGTTGAATTGTATTGTTTCTATATTTATCATCAATATCATCATTTGGTTTGTTTTCTTTCTTTTTTAAATAATAAATATTATATGTTACTTTAGTAATTTTCATTTTTTCGTAACGATCATTAACAGAAATTGAGTCAAGTACTATTTTAACACCATTTTTTGCATATTTAATATTTAATTGAGTTAATTGTTCTTTAATGTTTTCATTTCTCTGGTGGTATAGTAAAAGTAAATAATTTGTATACATTTATAATAAATAAATAATTAAATAAATAAAGTACTAACTTTAAATGCATAATAGGTTATTGAAAATAATGATCCTATACCAATTATTACACCTAATGCTATTGAAGTATACTTATCGAATGCATCCACAAAATATAATAGAAATACCAAAAATGTTAAAAAAAATATTATTACAACTGGTGCTAAATAGTATTTTCTTGACACTAATGGATTCTTTAATATATGATTAACCTGCCCTATAAATTGTTCATATTCATCTTTGGTCAAATTTCCTTCTAATTCTTTAGGATATTCATTTGATATATTATAATTTTCATCCAAATCCAATAGTATTTTGTTATATTTGTTATTATTTGACATTTTATCGATGTTTCTATTAAGTTTTTTCTTTTTTTAAATTAATCAATCAATTTTTTTTTTTAAATTTATATTAATTTTTTTTTAAAATTAAAAAAAAAAAATTTATTTTTTAAAATATTTTTTTTTTTTTTTTACAATAATAACCTCCAAGGTAATATAACTGACTATTTGTTATCTTAATTTTTTTATTTATTTTCAAATATGGTGTTTAATACCAATTTTGTTTAGCCTATATACATATAAGTTCAATTTAATATAATTTTTTTTTTTTCAATTATTTTTTTTTATTTTTTTATTTTTTTTAAATTTAAATTTTTTTATTTTTTTTTATTTTTTGTTTTTATTATTTCATGTTGTAGATCTTATGTGTATATTTTGTTAAAATGAACAATACAGCATTAAAGAATATTAGATGTCAAAAGTGTTTAGAATATGTAGGTTTAAAGAAAAAAAAAAAGAAATTTATTTCGATTAATATTAATGTAAATTAAATATTTCTAGGGACATTATACTTACCAATGTAAAAATAATGCAGTTTATAAATCGAGACCAACTCGTACAGCATTTTTAAATGATAAAAAATTACTAGAGAATACCTTAAAATCATACCAAGAACGCGATAAAAATACTATTAAAGATAGCGATAAAAAGAAATCAAAATCAAAATCAAAAGCAAAATCAAAATCAAAGAGAAGAAAAAGATCACATGATAGCAGTGATGATTCATCTGATAGTGATAGTAGTAGTAGCGATAGTGATTCTTATAGTAGTGATGATTCATCCTACAGTGATAGTAGCGATTCATATAGTTCAGATTCAGACTCAGACTCAGATTCAGATTCAGACTCAAAAAAAAGAAGAAAGAAAAACAAAAAATACAGCGAAAAAAGAGACAGAGACAGAAACAGGGACAAAGAAAAAGATCAAAAAAATGACAAAGTACAAAGAGATAGAAGTAGAAGTAGAGATAGAAGTAGAAGTAGAGACAAAAGTAGAGATGATAGTCCAACTAATGGTAAAATAGATACTGGTATAGAAAAAAATAATAAAAAGAGTGAATTTTCAAATAAAAATAGTCCAAGTAGAAGCCCCAGAAATAGAAATAGAAGTCCTTTAGATGAAGAACATAGGGGTCGTAGTAGAACTATAAATTATGAAAAAAGTAGAAGCAGAAGTCCCAGTCCAAGTAGATAAAAAACTAATTTTTTTTTTTTTTACACAATATTGGAATTTGTTTGGTGATGTCCAATAAAAAATAACAAAACATTAATTTCATATTAATGATAATAATATAAAAATTGTATTAATTTTTTGCTCCAAATATATTTCGGGTATTTTTTTTTTTTTTTTTTTTTATTTTTTTAATTCAAGATAACTTTTTTGTTTGGTTAGAATAAAAAAAAAAAAAAAAAAGAAAAAAAACTAAATATTTAATAAATTAATTTTTTTTTTTTTTTAAATTTTTAATTTTTTTTTTATTTTTTAATTTTTTTTTTTTTTTTTCAAAGCATATTTTTTAAAATATTTTATTTTTTTTATTTTTCTTTTTTTTAATATATATAAAACTTTATTTTTTTTTTAATATATACATATAGCATTACAAAGATGATGGAAAAAAGCGATATTAAACCAGCTGTAATTTTTGTTTTAGGTGGTCCAGGTTCAGGTAAAGGTACACAATGTGCCAATATTGTTGAGGAATTTGGATTTGTTCATTTATCAGCTGGTGACTTATTACGTGCTGAAATGAACTCTGGTTCAAAGAATGGTGATATGATCGCTACCATGATTAAAAATGGTGAAATTGTTCCATCCATCGTTACAATCGAATTACTTAAAAATGCCATTAAATCCAATCCAGGTAAAAACTTTTTAGTTGATGGTTTCCCAAGAAACGAAGAAAATAATAAATCATGGGAAGATAATATGAAAGATATTGTCGATACTAAATTTGTTTTATACTTTGATGTAAGTATTTTAAAATACTGATAAATAATATGGTATTTTTATATTAAAATAACATTAACATTAACATTTCTAAAATACTATTAGTGCCCAGAAGAAGTTATGACCGAAAGACTTTTAAAGAGAGGTGAATCAAGTGGTAGATCTGATGACAATATGGAATCAATTAGAAAGAGATTCCACACTTTTAATGTTCAAACCAAACTTGTTATTGACTATTATGGCCAATTCGATAAGGTTAGAAGAATCGACGCAAATAGAGATGTTAGCTTAGTTTATAAAGATGTCCAAGCACTTTTCAGATCATGTGGTTTTTAAGTAATTTAGTTTTATTGTAATAAAAAAAAAAAAAAAAAAAATATAAATAAAGAAAAACTATAAACAAAAAAAACTATAAAAAAAAAAAATTATCATTATAAAAGATTATAATAATAATATGTATCAATAATAATTAAAACTTAAAAAATAAAAATAAAAAAAGAAATCGAATAATAATATATTATTTTTATTTATTATTTTTTTTGTTGTTGTTGTTGTTGTTGTTGTTGTTGTGATGTTGTCGAGATGGTTCTAAATGATTTAGAGGGGTTTGATAATGACATTGTAAAATGATTTAGTTTTTTAACACTTCTATTCTTGAATAAATCTTTTGGTAAACCGGCAGATACTGATGGAGCGGTTTTTGTAACAGTTTTATCATCACCTTCCTTTTTTTTCTTTTTGGAACTGTTTACTGCAAAATCATCATCTTTATTTAAATCTATATTTATTGTTGAGTCAATATCTGGATTCTCTTGAATCAATTCATTCATAGTATTGCTATTTAGTACTATTTTATTTGGTTTTTCTTTTTTTAATTGCTTTGGTTTTGAAATTTCTAATAATTTATAAATAATAATTAATGTTGGTTTTAATTCGGATATGTATCTTGGTAATATTACAACTTCAAGGAAATTTATAAAACCTTGATTAATAATTGGTGGTGAAGATATTGTTGTTGTGGTTGGAGTGGTTGTAGTTGTTGTGGTATTTGAAGGTATATTTGTAAACGAATCCATTAGAAATGAAACATCTTGTAATAAGAATACTATATTTTCAATAGAGGAGTTTATGTTTTTATCCTCATCTTTTGTAGTTGTTGTTTCTAGTTTCTTTTTTTCGTATAATTTCTCTTTTAAATATAAATATTCAAATCTTAAAATAATTTGTAATTGATATTCCCATAGTTTTAATGCTGTTCTATTTTTAGTTACTCCTTCTTCTGCTTGTTGTTGTTGTTGTTGCTGTTGTTGATCTTTATATTTCAATCTTAGTGAATCTACAGGAATTATTAAATTTTTAAATATCCATTTTATTAATTCTTTTTTTTCATCTTTATTTGACAACTTGAATTCGTTTAGTGTTCTTATTGTATTAGATATCCAATCTATATCTTTGGTGTTGTTAAATGGATCCCCATTTATTAATGTATTTTGATACTGTTTTCTAATTTCTTGAAAATATAATTCTAATTTTTTCTTTTTATCATTTTCTTTAAGATCAATAGATTGGAATAAATTTAAAAAATCGGATTGTTCACTATCATTGTTATTAGTATTGCAACTTTTATTAATATTATTGTTATTATTACTATCGTTATCGTTATTATTGATTTTTTGGTTCATTTATTAATTATATAAAAATAATAATATTATTATAATAATATTTGAAAAAAAAATAAAAAATTATAAAAAAAATAAAAATAAAAAAAAATAAAATTAAAAAAAAAAATATTTTTTTGTATAAATAAGAGGGATTTAAAAAAGTAATAAATTCATATTCAAGTAATAAACCAAATTTTAAACTATTGTTTATATTACATCTCCCAATGAGATTTATATTTTAATTTAAGAATGTTTTTTTTTATTTTTTTTATTTATTTTTTATTTTTTTTATTTATATTTTATTTTTTTTTATTTAATTTAATTAGAAAAAGGTGACGTATTTATTATAATAATGAAAGCTATTCTATATTAAATCACTTAATTTAATAAATAACTTAAATAAAAAAATGACTTAAAACAAAATAAAATTTAGATATTTTTTAAAAATTGAAAATAAAAAAATTATTTAAATAATTTTTTTTAAATTTTTTATAATTTTTTTATAATTTACTTCAAACTTTCTGCTGCAAACAAATAATAAATAACAAAAATGATATCTATTAAAGGTTCATTGTTTTTTAATACTAGTAAAAATATTTATAATATTTCAAATTTAAGATATTTTACTACTGGTAGTTCAACATCAACATCACAATCAAAACCATCAAATATTAAAATTTATAAATCAACTACAACCAATGCATTATTTAATATTGCCACTGAAGATTGGCTATTTAAAGAATTTGATACAAATAAACAAGTTTTGTATTTATGGAGAAATACACCAACTGTAGTCATTGGAAGATACCAAAATCCTTTCAAAGAATGCCATTTACAAAAAATGGATGAAGATGGTGTAGTATTAGCCAGAAGATTTTCAGGTGGTGGTGCTGTTTATCAAGATTTGGGTAATACCAACTTTACTTTTCTTTCATCAACCTCAACCTATGATAAAAATAAAAACACCCAAATCATTTTAGATTCTTTAAAATCAATAGGTTTGCCAAAACCCGAAGCATCAGGCAGAAATGATATTTTAATTGATGGTAAGAAAGTATCTGGTTCAGCATACAAACAATCTGGTAATCGTTCTTTCCATCATGGTACTCTCATGATCGATGTTAATTTAGACTCACTCCAAAAATACCTAAACCCAAATAAAGATAAATTAAAGGTAATTATTTTAATTCGTTCATTACCAATTTTAATAAATCATTAATTTTTTTTTAATTCATATATTTTTAGAGCAAAGGTATAACAAGTGTTATTTCTAGAGTTACCAATATGAAAACACTCAAACCAAATATGACCCATGAAGAAATTTGTGATAGTATTATCAATGAATTCTGCAAAGTTTATGGTGAAAGTAATGTCGAAATTGAAGAACTCAATACCTCAGATTTAGAAAAAATTCCATCACTCAAAGAAACCTATAACACCTTAAAAAATTGGGATTGGAGATATGGAAACTCACCAACTTTTGAGCATCAATTTGAAAAAAGATTCGATTGGGGAACCATTGTAATTATCGAATTTAATTATTTGTTTTTTCAATTTTCAATAAAATACTAACTCGAACTTTTATATTACTATTTAGGATATCAATATGAATTGCACTAAAAGTGTTATTGAAAAAGTAAAAATCTATAGTGATTCATTAAATCCAATAATGATCGAATGTTTAACCGATAATCTATTAGGGGTCAAATATAATAAAGAGGGTATTGAAATTGCCATAGAAAGAACTAAAAATGCTTTAAATAACAAGGATGTAAATTCAAATCTCGATGAGTTAAAAGAATATTTAATTCATTCCATTTAAGGGGGTCCAATTTCAAATTTAATAATAATAAAATTAATATTAAACTTAATTTAATTCAAAAATATCTAAAAAGTTTTTTAACGAAAAAAAAAAAAAAAAAAAAAATATTATTTTTTAATTTTTTATTTTTTTATTTTTAAAAAAAAAAGAAAAAGTCTTTGAAAATTTTAAATTTATTTTTTTAGATTTTTAATAAGACACCAGTTATAGCATAACATATTATTATTATTTATTTTTGTGTGTGTCAATAATTAATAATAGTTTGTTTTGTGTTTGATATTATTATTCATAGACATTCAATATTTATATTGATTTTAAATAAAAAAAAAAAAAATCACACAAAATAAAATATATTATCAATAATATTAATCAAAAATGGTAAAAGAGTTTTTAGGGGAAAATAGTCAAGCAGGTCAAAATCTTTTAAGATTAGTTTCACGTGGTAATGCTATTATTTCAGAAATTCTTCGTTTAAGTCAACACATTCCAAGTGTATTCAAATTAGAAGATAGAAATGAAGCTAGAAGATATCAAGACATTTTATTAGATTTTAAATACCTTTCAAACCCAGATTTCTATGAATCTAAAATTGAAGAAAATAGAGTAATTATAGTGTTTAAATTCATAATCATTTAATTTATACTAATATTCTTTAAATTATTTGAATATTAGGATTTAGTTGAACTCGAAGCAGAATTCAGAGATAATCATATTGATATTTTAGTTAGATTTTACCACTTATTCGAAAGTATTTATAAATATATTGTGGATTTAGAACATTATATTGTTGATGTCGAAAAAGGTTTTTATATTCATTTAACTATTGAGGTAAGTTTAAATAATATATTTTTCTTTTTTTTTTTTTTACATAAATTTTAATATTGTTTTTTTTTTTTAGGCAATTTTAATTAATGGTGATGGTAAACAATTATTATCAGAAGCAGTTTATTTATATGGTGTAATGTTAATTTTAATGGATAATTTAATTGAAGGTCCAGTTAGAGAAAGAATGTTAATCTCTTATCTTAGAAATAAAGGTCCAGTAGATTTACCATTAATTGATGATGTTTGCAAACTTTGTAAATCAACTGGTTACATTCCAGGTGGAAGAAGACCAGCAAACTATCCAGAGGAATATTTTAAACGTGTCCAATTACCAGAAAATGTTCTTTCAATGATTGTTGGTCGTTTACGTTCTGATGATATTTATAATGGTACAGAATCATTCCCACAACCAGAACATAGAAGTGTAGCTTTAGCAACCCAAGCTTGTATGGTTTACGTTATTTTATATTTTATTCCAGATATTTTAAATAATAAAAATGTAAGTAAAGAAAACTATCAAACAATATTATTAATAATAATTTTTTATAAATTTTAATTCTTTTTTTTTTTTATAAACCACCTAGTCAATTATGAGAGAAATTGTTGATAAATTTTTCCCAGATAATTGGGTTATTTCATTCTTTTTAGGGTTTACAATCGATTTATCTGTAGCATGGGAACCATATAGAGCAGCAAAAACCGCAATGGCAAATACAATTACATTACAAAATGTACAATACCAACAACAAATATATTGGAAAGAATTAGCAGATTTAAATAAACTTGTAGAAGATTATTTACTTGAGGGTTTATTGGTCGAAGAGTATATTGTCGATAATGTTCATAGGATTATTAATTGTATTCGTAGATGCAATGTTACTATCCGTTGGTTAATGTTACACACTAATGCAAGCCAAAAGAGACTTAAAGATTTGGTTTCAATGGGCTCACAAGATGATGTTCTTTCACTTTTATTAAATACAGCACAGTTAGAATTTGTCTTTAAAAATATTTTCCAAGCACTTTTAGCAACAAAAGAAGAGAAATGGGAAGAGAATAAGAAATTAGCATCAGAAAGTATGGTTGAATTATCAGAATACTTTTCAGGTGAAAAAGCTTTGACTCGTGTTAAAAAGAATGAAAATCTTCAAAAATGGTTCTCTGAAATTTCAAATAAAATCAACTCACTCGATTCACAGGACAGCACAAGCACAGGTAGAAAGATTCAACAATTAAGCCAAGCTCTTGAAGAGGTTGAACAATTCCAACAAATTGATTCAAGTATTCAAGTCAAACAATTTTTAATTGAAACTCGTCAATTCCTTACCAAAATGATTAAAATTGTAAACATTAAAGAGGAAGTACTCATCAATTTATCAGTTTGTGCTGATATGTCATATGCCTGGGATATCATTAACAATTACGTTGAACAAATGCAAAGAGGTATCAAACAAGATCCAAAATGTGTATTAAAGCTTAGAGCAACCTTTTTAAAACTTGTTTCCATTTTAGATTTACCATTGGTTAGAATTGCTCAATGTTCCTCACCTGATCTTATCTCTGTATCAGAATATTACTCTAGTGAATTGGTCGGTTATGTTAGAAAAGTTTTAGAAATTGTTCCAAAACAAATGTTTTTAATTTTAAAACAAATTATTAATATGCAAACTAATAACCTCAAAGAATTACCAACCAAAGTCGAAAAAGAAAAGTTCCGTGATTATGCACAATTAGAGCAAAGATATGAATTAGCCAAAGCCACTCATTCAGTATCAGTTTTCACAGAAGGTATTTTGGCTATGGAAACTACTTTGGTAGGTATTATTGAAGTTGACCCAAAACAATTACTCGAAGATGGTATTCGTAAAGAGTTGGTATTACAAATCGCTCAAGCTATGGATAGAACATTAGTATTCAATTCAAAAAATCAAAAACAAGATGAACTCTTACAACGTCTTAGAGAGCTTTCAAATATTTTAGATGGTTTCAGACGTTCATTCCAATATATTCAAGATTATGTTAACATTCAAGGTTTAAAGATTTGGCAAGAGGAATTTTCACGTATTGTAAACTTTTACGTTGAACAAGAATGTAATAGTTTCTTAAAAAAAAAGATTTACGATTGGCAATCATCATTCCAATCAGTAGCCATTCCAATTCCAAGATTCGCACCACCACCAGGAGATAATGGTCCAGTTCAATCAGTCAATATGATTGGTCGTTTAGCAAGAGAACTTTTAAATCAAACAAATTGTAAAAATACACTCTATCTTAACCAAATTGGTTGGTTTGATCCAAACACTGGAAAGGAATTGGTTGGTATCAATACATGGTCAGTTCTTCACCAATCCGTTGGAATTTTTGGTTTAACAGGTTTAGATAAATTATTCTGTTTTATGATGGTCAAAGATCTTCAAGTATTTGTTACCCAAACTCGTTCTTTGGTAGAAAAGAGTCTTAAAGGTTTTATTAAAGAATTTGAAGACTATCTCATCCCAACTACCTCAATTCCAGATAATATTCAACGTTATCAAGTTGCTCTTGAAAAAACCAAACTTTTAGGCCCAATTTTTAGCGATGTTCTCACAAAGATTGGTCAAATTCAACTTATTAGAAGACAAATTTCAAATCAATTAAATTTCCATTGTAAGATCGATTCAAATATGCTTTTCTGTAGTTTAGATATTATGAATAAATCATTACTCAAAGATATTCAATCACATTTCCAACGTCCAGATGAAAAAAATCCATACCCATCAGATGACAATACATTACTCTCTGACTTATCACAATTTTTAGACACAACCGGAATTAACGATCCATTCACTAAAATCTATATTACAACATCACCACTCGAAGCATTCCCATGTTTACTTTTCCTTTTTGTTTTATCTCAAGTCACCAAATTCCAATACAACAGCAAGCTCAATGTTATGCAAGCCAAAAAACAAAAGAATTCTTACGATTGGACCCCATTCATCACTGGTTGTATTACAATTCTCCAACAATTCCATTCACTTCATACCCAAAAGTTTTTAGCATTCGTTGGTCAATATATTAAATGCCAAATCAATATCTCTCTTGCAAATCCAAAGGAAACCACTGAAGAATACCCAGAAGATGTTGTTGCTTTATTAAGATTTTTAGAAGATTTTTGTAAATACAGCCACACTTCAAGAAATCAAATTAATAATTATATACCACCATATCTTTTTGATCATTTTAATTTATAATCATAAAATAAATCAAAAAATAAAATAAAAATTATAAAAAAAAAAAAAAAAATTAAAATTATATTAAAATAGTTTATTATTATTATTATTTTAATTGCTCTAATTTATAAAGATCATTTCTTCTTTGGACAGTGATTGGAATACTTGATCTAACTTCATTTAGTTCATTTAAATCGATATCAGCATAAATAATTGATTGATGTTCATCAGTTTTTGATAAAATTCTTCCCCATGGATCAACAACAGTTGAATGACCCCATGATTGATAGGCAGAGTCAGGGTTTCTAGCTGGTGATACTGCTGCTACATATGATTGATTATCGACAGCTCTGCCTCTTTGAAGTAATTCCCAATGAGCTGGACCTGTAACTAAATTAAATGATCCTGGGAAAACTAACATTTTTGCGCCCATTCTGGTATATAACATTGATAACTCTGCAAATCTAATATCATAGCAAATCCCAACACCAACTTTGCAATATCCAATATCTATGACTGTAAAATCGTTACCTGGTGTAAGGGTTTCACTCTCTTTAAATTTAATTTTATTTGGTACGTCAATATCGAATAAATGAACCTAATATAAATAATAAATATTATTAACACCATTATATGTTATATATTTCCAAACGAAATAGTTTTAATTTACCTTTCTATGCTTTTTAATTAATTCACCTTTATCATTGAATATAAAACATGTATTGTATATCTTGCCATCGATTGGGTCTTTTTCTGGAATGGAACCACCAATTAACCAAATATTGTTTTTTTTAGCAGCATCTGATAATTGTTTAACGGTTTCACCGCTCTCTGTTTCAGAGTATTGTTCGAAAACTTTTGTGGCATATGGACAATTAAAACATTCTGGTAATGATACTAAATTAGCACCATTCTTTGCTGCTTCATCAATAAATTTTAATGCATTTCTAACATTTTCTTCTTTATTTTCGCCTACAAGCATTTGAATACCTGCAAATTTAAAATTCTTTTCTCTTTCTGCCATTAAATGTTGTTTTCTTAATTGATGTGAAACGTGGGCAAAATTTCTAAAACTATAATTATTATTATTAAAATATAAGCTTGTATTACTATTTAATAATTGATTCTTTTTGAAAAATTTTGTTTTATCACCAATTAATAATGAGTTTGAAAATCTATTTATTGAGTTTCTAAGTATACTAATTGACATATATAAAGTATAAATGGATAGAATAAAAAAATAAAAAAATAAAAAAATAAAAAAATATAATTAAAATAAAAAAATAAAAAAAAATAAATAAAAAAAATAATTTGGTCAAAAATTCAATTTTTTTTTTATTAAATTTTTTAATATTTTCAATCTTAAAATTTATTTTTATATTTCGTTTTATTATATATTTAAAAAAAAAAATTAATTATAATTAAATAAAGTAATCAGCCATGATTAATATTTTCCTACCAACACTCACATTAAGCTCGTTGGATTGTAATTTTCTAACATTTATCATGACCTTGCTAAACTCAAGAGTTTGATCATTTAAATGCTTCGAACCCCTATAAAGATAGAACTATTTGGTTAAAATCATCACCCTTTTTTAAAAAACAATGTTGTTTATTTAATAATAATATATAACATTAGTGATTCATTTTCCTACCTCTTAAATAATAAATGGCAATTAATATTTGACATTAGAATTTGGTAATAATAATTTTTTAAAATCAAAAATTAAAACTTGTAATTAAATAAATTTTATTTTTATTTTTTTTAATGTTGCACTTAGATTATTTTCTTATCCATAATGAAATCTTTGATTGAAGGCATCACGAATGCTATTGAATATTCCTCCAAAACTTTTGGTAATAAGCCGGGTGGAACTACCCGGCGATAACCGAATGTCAGTGTTGTGAGACTTTTTGGTATTGATCCTGGTAGAACTATTTGGTTAAAATAATAACCAAATGTGAGTGTTATAAGACTATTTGGTAATGAACCGGGTAGAACTATTTGGTTAAAATAATAACCAAATGTGAGTTTTGTGAGACTATTTGGTAATGAACCGGGTAGAACTACTTGGTTAAAATTTTTACCGAATGTGAGTGTTGTGAGACTATTTGGTAGTGCACCAGGTAGAACTACTTGGTTAAAATTATCACCGAATATAAGTGTTTTGAGATACCTTGGTAATGCGCTGGGTAGAACTACTTGGTTAAAACGATTACCGAATGTGAGTGTTGTGAGACAAGTTGGTAATGAATAGGGTAGAATTACTTGGTTAAAACAATAATCGAATGTGAGTGTTGTGAGACTATTTGGTAATGATCCTGGTAGAACTATTTGGTTAAATACAGAGCCGAATGTGAGTGTTGTGAGATAATTTGGTAATGAGTCGGGTAGAACTATTTGGTTAAATAGGGTTCCAAGTGTGAGTGTTGTGAGACTATTTGGTAATGTTCCTGGTAGAATTACTTGGTTAAAATTTTTACCGAATGTTAGAGTTGTAAGACTATTTGGTAATGTGCCGGGTAGAACTATTTGGTTAAAATCATGGCCGAATGTGAGTGTTGTGAGACTATTTGGTAATGAGTCGGGTAGAACTATTTGGTTAAAACAATAGCCGAATGTGAGTGTTGGGAGATATGGGAGTGATCCGGGTAGAACCATTTGGTTAAAATTAACACCAAATGTGAATGTTGCGAGACTATTTGGTAGTGCACCAGGGAGAATTACTTGGTCAAAATGATTACTGAATGTGAGTGTTGTGAGACTATTTGGTAATGAGTCAGGTGGAACTACTTGGTTAAAATAATAACCGAAAGTGATTGTTGTGAGACTATTTGGTAATGAGTCGGGTAGAAGTACTTGGTTAAAATCATAACCGAAAGTGAGTGTTGTTAGACTATTTGGTAATGTGCCGGGTAGAAGTACTTGGTTAAAATAATGACCGAAAGTGAGTGTTGTTAGACTATTTGGTAATGTGCCGGGTAGAACTACTTGGTTAAAATCATAACCGAATGTGAGTGTTGTGAGACTATTTGGTAATGAGTCGGGTAGAAATACTTGTTTAAAACAATGGCCGAAAGTGAGTGTTGTGAGACTATTTAGTAATGTGCCGGGTAGAACTACTTGGTCAAAATCATAACCGAATTTGAGTGTTGTGAGACTATTTGGTAAAGTAGTTATTAACATATTAAAATGGTACAAATCTAAATTTTTCAAAAAGGGTGGAAATTCATTTTTATCTGGTAGTGGACCACCACCCCACTTAAGTGTTGTTATATATGATTTATCTTTAAACTGGTCATATTGTTTTTTATCAAGATCTACAACATTATGTTTAATAAACTTTAAAATATGTTTATGAATTTCATTTCTTAAAAATATATTATTCCAAACTATATATAATAATCTATAATAAATAGTTAAAAAGAGAAAACACCATTTAATATAATTTAATTTATAATTATTGATTGTATTGTATTGTACTTACCTATCACTAATATTACTACTGTTTTTTAACTCTTCATTTACCTGAAATTTAATTAGAGATGACAGTAACTTATCCATTGTTAATATAAAAATAAATAAAAATAAATAATAAAATAATTTTTTTAAAATTTAAAAAATATTTAATACAAAATAATAATACTATTGTTTACTGATGATTTAAGATTTTTTTTTTTTTATTAAAAATAAAAAAACAGTCTTCAAAAATTGGGGATATTTTTTAAAAATTTTTAAAAAAATTGTGTTAAATATCCTCACATATTTATTTCACTTTTGTTTTATAAAATTTTAAATATTTAATTATAAAACATTAGTGATTCATTTTCTACCTCTTCAATAATAAATAGCAATTAATATTTAACTTGAGTATTTGTTAGTAACAATTTTTTAAATCAAAAATTAAAATAAATTTTATTATTATTTTTTTTTAACTGAGATTATTTTCTTACCCATCAGTTTATCAGTTTATTATTTATTTAATTTAGTTTTTATTATTATTTCCATACAAATCTAATTCATTTAAATATTTTTTGTGTTAAATATTTAAAATGAAAATAATTTATTGATCGAAATATTGAGGATTACAACTTGTCGATAAAATTTCAATTGAGCTATAAAAGAAACCATATTTTGAATATGTAAAGTCATAAGTTTGACCTGGTTTCAAACCTGATACTCTTATTTGTTCTGGAAGTTCATATACCTCTGGAGAAACTGATTCGGTACCATTAATACTAAGAAGTCTACCTTTTATTGAAAATGATAGATTATAAAGAGTTTGTGAAGGAGAGGTATTTCTTATTGATACACCAAAAATAGAGGTGATGAAGCTAAATTTGCCTTTAATCTTTTCTTGTTTTATATCGGCAGTACATTGATTTTCGGGTAAGTTTGCGGCACTGCTATCATTTTGACTAATTAAATCACATTCATCATGTCCAATAAATTTCAAATGTGCCGGTGTATTTCCTTTAGAATAATAAGTAAAAGAATAGAAACTTGTTGGTCTTAATGGAATACCTGATACGCTAATCTTGTAAACACCATCTTGACTTGTATCATCTAAACCATTAACATTTTCGACAGTGGTATCAAAACTAATAAAAAGACTATTAATATTTTTTGATCCAATATTTGAAACTTCTACCCACCAAATATTTTTAATAATACCATCTTCCTTAACATATCCAATAGCTTTTTGAGTATAGGTAATTGTACATTGTTCTTCAGATGAAGTTTTTGAATATGATTGGGTTGGTTGGGATGACCATGAAGGTATTGATAATGATGTATCTATAGAGGAAGAAACTGCTGGTGAAGTTGAGGATGAAGAGGTAATTACCGGTGAGCTTGATGAAGATGTAACTGCTGGTGAGGTTGATGATGAAGAGGAAACTTCTGTTGATGAAGATGTATCAATTGAGGAAGATGGAAACTCAGAATCATTTGTAGAAGATATAGGTGAATTAGTGTTAGATGATGAAATTTCTAGAGATGTGGATGATGAAGAAACATGTGATTTCGACTCCATTGATGATGAAGTTAGTAGAGGATCTTTAGTGGAAGAGGATGAAGATGGTTCTTCTTTGCTATTACTTGAGGCAGCTGAACTAGATTCTATGTTATTTGATGTGGAAGAATCTGTATTATTTGATTCATTATCTACACTACTTGAGGTGATTTGTGATGAACCGCCATTTGATGAAACTGGTTCTATACTACTTGATGTATTGGATTCGATACTATTACTTGAGGATACATTTGGTTCACTTCTTGATATAATATGCGATGCGTCACTATCTGATGATGTAACAGATTCTGTAGCACTGTTACTTGATGAAACAGTAGAAGAACTACTACCTGTTATTATAGGCTCTATAGAATCCAAACTACTCGATCTAGATGATTCTAAACTCGATGAAATAGATTCTGTTATACCACTTGACGAACCCATATTGCTTGAAACAATAGGTTCTGTGCTGGTACTTGATGCGCCTGATTCTATAATACTTGATGAAACAGATCCCATACTTGATCTGGATGATTCTAAACTATCTGATGATACATGTTCACTACTTGAAACTGACTCCACACTACTTGCTATACTCGATATAGCAGGCTCTAAGCTATCGATATTTGATGAGGATTGTGATGTACTACTTGATGAAACTGCACTACTTGATGTAACAGATTCAACACTACTTGCTATACTACTTGATGAAATAGATTCTACACTACCACTAGTTTCAGATGATTCTAAACTACTTGATGCAATAGATTCTGAATTACCACTTGAAACAGGCTCTGAGCTATCGATGTTTGATGAGGATTGTGATGTACTACTTGATGAAATAGATTCTGTATTACCACTTGATGAAACAGGCTCTGAGCTGTCTATTGTCGATGAAGAAGGTGATATACTACTTGATGAAGCATATGCACTGCCATTTGATGAGACAGATGTATCTTCACTCGATGCAGCTGGTTCTACATTACCACTTGGTTCGCTTATTGATCTAGCATGTGAAGCACCACTATCTGATGTAACAGATTCTGAAGCACTGCTACTTGATGAAGTAGGAGATGAACTACTACCTGTTATTACAGGTTCTATACTTGGTGTTATAGAATCAGCATCACTTGATCTAGATGATTCTAAACTACTAGATGAAACATGTGCACTACTTGATGGAATAGAAATCATACTGCTTGAAATAGATTCTACATCGCTTGATATAGCAGGTTCTGAGGTATCAATAGTTGATGAGGATTGTGATGTACTACTTGATGCACTGCCTGAATTAAAAGTTTCCACACTACTAGATAAAATTGGATCATTACTGCCACCCGATGAAATAGATTCAACACTACTTGATGTAACAGATTCTACACTACTTGCTATACTCGATATAGCAGGCTCTAATCCATCGATATTTGATGAAGATTGTGATGTACTACTTGATGAAACTGCACTATTTGGTGTAACAGATTCTACACTACTTGCTATACTACTTGATGAAATAGATTCTACACTACCACTAGTTTCAGATGACTCTAAACTACTCGATGAAACAAGTGATGCACTACCACTTGATGAAACAGGTTCGGTGTTACCACTTGAAGTGCTACTAGGCGAAACAGGTTCTGTGCTGCCTATTGTTGAAGAAGGTGATATATTGCTTGATGAATCAGATGCACTTCCACTTGATGAATCAGATGTATCCCCACTTGATGAAGCTGGCCCTGAATTATCACTTGATGAAATAGATTCTGTGCCACTTGATGAAACAGGTTCTGTGCTACTTATTTTTGGTGAAGAGGGTGATATACTGCTTGATGAAACAGATGAACTACTACTTGATGAAATAGATGTACTACCACTTGATGGAACATTTAGTTCACTATCTGATGATGTAATAGAGTATGAAGCACTGGTACTTGATGAAGCAGGAGATGAACTGCCACCTGCTAATATAGGTTCTATACTTTGTGATATAGAATCAGTATCACTTGATATTGATGATTCTAAGCTACTAGATGAAATAGATTCTGGGTTACCATTTAATGAAAGAGAATTCATACTGCTTGAAACCGGTTCAATATTACTTGATACAATAGGTTCTGTGCTGGTACTTGATGTACTTGGCCCCACAGTACTTGATGAAACATATTCCTTACTTGATCTAGATGATTCTAAACTATTTGATGAAACATGTTCACTACTTGAAACTGACTCCACACTACTTGATATAGCAGGCTCAAAGTTATCGATATTTGATGAGGATTGTGGTGTACTACTTGATGAAACTGAACTACTTGATGCACTGCCTGAATTAAAAGTCTCCACACTACTAGATAAAGCTGTATCATTACTGCTACCTGATGAAATAGATTCTACACTACTTGATAAAACAGATTCTACACTACTTGGCCCAGATGACTTTGCACTACTTGACGAAACAGATTCCACACTACCACTTGTTATAGCTGGAGATATACTACTTGATGAAATAGATCCTAGACTACCACTAGATTCAGATGATTCCAAACTACTCGATGAGACAGGTGATACAACACCACTTGATGAATCAGGTTCTGCGCTATTACTTGATGAAATAGATTCTGTTCCACTTGAAACAGGTTCGGTATTACCACTTGATGAAACAGATGTGTCCCCATTTGATGAAGCTGGTTCTACATTGTTTGATTCTGTACTACTTGGTCCAGACTGTTCCAAACTACTTGATGAATCAGAATCTCCATTACCACTTGATGAAATAGATTCTGTCATACTTGGTCCTAATAGCTCCAAACTAAGTGATGAAACAGAATCTAAACTACCATTACTTGATGAAACAGACTCCACACCACTTGAATTAGCATTTTGTACAGATTCCATACTACTTGGTGCTGTTGGTGCAATTCTACTAGACAAAACAGATTCTTCACTACCACTTGATGAAGTAGGCTCTACACTTGATAAAATAGATTCTACACTACTCGATGATTCTGCACCACTTGTTGTACCAGTGGATATATTTGTTGATGAAATATGCTCTACACTACTTGCTGAAACTGTCTCTACACTAATTGAAGAGGTAGATTCTATACTACTAGTTGTTATACTACTTGATGCAGTAAATTCTACAGCACTACTTGATCCAATAGATTCTACATTTCTACTTGATGTAGACTCCAAACTATCACTACTTGAAGAAATAAAAGACTCACTACTTGATGTTGTAGATTCTATGACACTACTTGACCCAGATCCTACACTACTACTTGATGTAACAGACCCTATACTAATAGATGAAAAATGTGACTCACTACTTGATGTAACCGATTCTACACTGCTTGACCCAGATGACTTTATACTACTTGATGAAACAGATTCCACAGCACTGATATTTGATGTAACAGACTCTATACTACCACCATTTGATGAAATGAATGATTCACTACCTGATGTACCAGATCCTAAACTATTTGATGCAATGTTCTCTATACTGCCACTTGATTCAAACGATTCTACACTAGATACAGGCTCTACATCACCAGATGAAATAGACTCTACACCACTTGATGTAGATTCTATACTACTTGACGAAGTAGGCTCTATATTACCACTTGATGTAATATGTGGCGAACTACTTGAGGAACCACTGTTTGGTGAGGATTCAACGCTAGACGAAATAGGCTCTACACTACTTGATGAAACTGGTTCTGCAACTCCACTTGATGAAAATGATTGGGTAACAGTTGAACCACTATTACTTGATGATAGGTGGGATATGCTTTCAAAAGTAGAATCGTTACTACCACTTGATGAATCTGGTGATTCTATACTACTTGGAGAAATAATTTCTAGACTACTTGATATAATATCAATATTTGAGGATGGTTCAACGCTACTCGACGAAATACTTGATGAAACTGACCCCATACTTCCTTTTGGTGTAACAGGAGTAATATCGCTACTTGATGAAACAGATTCTACGCCATTTGGCGAAATAGAATCTGTATTACTTGGTGCAGGAAATATACTGCTTGATGACTCAGATTCCGTACTATCTGAAACAGAAGTTTCTCCACCATATGATGAAATAGATTCTACATTACTACTTGACAATATAGACTCTTTACTACTTGATGCGACAGGATCTTGAACACTTGATGAAATAGATTCTAAGCTTGAAACATATTCTACACCACTTGATGAATTAGATTCTGAATCACCACTTGATATAACAGATTCTGTACCACTTGATGAAACTGGTGATGGGCTTGATACAACAAATATTTCACCATTACTTGACATTGATTCTATACTACTTGATTTAACATTTGACGAACTACTTGAAATAACAGAGTCTACGCTTGTTGTAAAAGGTGATACATTGCTTGACGAAACTGAATCTTCACTTCTACTATTTGATAAAACAGGCTCAATACTGCCTGAAATAACAGGTGACGAACTACTTGTGGCAATAGAGTGTAAACCACTTGATGAAGCAGGATCTATACTATCACCATTTGGCTCTATACTTGATGAAACAGATTCTGAACCCTTTGGTGACTCTACGCTACTTGATGCTACTGGATTTGAGCTACTACTTGATAAAACTGACTCCAAGCTACTTGATGAAATAGGTTCTATTCCATCAAGCTCCACAGTACTACTCGATCCAGATGATTCAACACTACTAGATGAAGCATATGACCCGCTACTACCTGATACAGATGATGACTCTATATTGCCACTACTTGATGTATTAGATTCTACACTTTCTATATTACCACTACTTGATGCAGCAGATTCCACACTACTAGTACTTAATGAATTAAATGATTCACTGCCTGATGTACCTGTAACAGATTCTACACTACTTGATGTCACCGGATTTACCCTGCCTATAACAGGATCTATACCACTTGAAGAAATTGATTCCATAGTAGCAGAATCTAAGCTACCTGATTCTATACTATTTGAAGCTAAAGATGCATCATTACTCGTTGTAACCTCCCCTACTTTATCCCATAAATCTACACTATTGCTCGATATAACTGAGTCTGTGCTTAATACAGCTGGAAATGTACTGTCACTATTTGTTGTAATTTGTATACTACCAGTTGAATCTATACCTGTAAATGAGTTTGAGTTGCTATCCATTGTTGAAAATGTTTCTGTATTACTTGTAACTGCACTATTTGTCATTGCAGACTCTGAACCAATGCTTGATGCGACTGTAACAGTTGATTCTATTGAACTACTCATTGAATTTTGCCCATTGTTTTTTGTTGCTAGCTCGTCACTATTTGTATCACTAATTGATGAAACTGAATCCACACTGGATGAAATACTATCTATACTTGTTGCAACTGGTGATACAATCTCTGTGCCATATGTGCTTGAATCTCCACTGTTTGTGTGGGAACCAATTGGTTCAGATATATTTGAATCGCCGTTATCTATTGACTCTTTACTATTTGAGTTGGTGTCTGTATTTTGTTCTTCCCCACCTGTAGCAACTGAATCTTGTCTAGAATCTGTTTCAACACTGCTACTCTCTATATGACCCAAATTGCTACCTGTCGTAAGTGACTCCACACTGCCACTTGATGTAATTGACTCTGCACTGCTTGGTATAACTGGCTCAGCAACATCTGTAACTGGTTTAATATCGCTTGGGGAAGATGAAATACTATTATTTGCCTCTGTACTAACAATTGGTAATACCTGTTCAATATTTGATGAGTCCGATTTGGAACTACCACTTGAAGACTGCAATGTTGGAGCTATAATATCATTTGTATCTTGAGATATGGAACCTAACTGCTCTAAACTATTAGCTTCAAATTTTTCCTTACTATTTGAAGGAACCTGTTCATCAGATGATAAATGTTCACTAGAACTTGGTGTTTGGGAATTTGATTCAGATGAAGAAATTTTTGATGTCGAACTTGCTAAAGAACTTATTGAGTCCACATTATTATTGGTCTCGGAACTCCCACCTATTGTTATATTAGACTCTATACCGGTTGTTGTTACAGATGATGATTGAGAAGTTTCCTTTGGGTAAATAATCCCAGAACTATCATTAGGAAGATTTGAAGACATACCCTCAACACTTCCTGGTAATTCGGTAACTGTCTCAGGCGATGATATTTCTATAATACTAGGGCTTGACTCTGGCCTATTATCTAGTACTGGTAAATTATCTCTGGATGACTGTGAAGATTCCTCTAAAACTACTTTATTATTATTTTTATCGAAATTAAAATTATTTTTATTATTTTCCTGTTCTTTATTTGGAATTAAAAATTTTTTTGAAATATAATTATTTATTTTATTATTATTATTTTCAAAATCTTCAAGATTCTTTAAAAGAACTTCAAATTTTTTCGCATCTTTATCCAGAAAAGCTTCATTATTTTTATTTGGTTTTACAATTTGAAGTATATTTTCAAGATTATCTAATAACAATTGATCATCTTTGAAAACTTGATCTTTTCTATCTTGATTCCCTGATGAAGAATTAACATAACTTAAAAAAGCTAGAAATAAAATTAACTTTAACAATAGTCTCATTTCTTTAAATAAATTAGTATTTTGAATTTTTTTTTTTTTAAATAAAAATATAATATTTGATTTAACTTACCAGGGACTACTTTTAACTAAAATATGTAAATGAAGTTGAATATATACGACAGCTATTATTTTATATTTATAACACGACTATTATAATTTATTAAAATTTAAATTTATAAAATAAAAAAAAATTAACAAAAAAAATAACAAAAAAAAAAAAAAAGCAATGTAATTACAGTAATAGTTTATTTAATATTAAAATAAATATTAAAAGTGAGTGTTAAATACTAAAACAAGGCACCTGATTGCTAATAATGTATTTAAATTAAAATAAAAATAAATTCATCTCTACGAAAATATTAATTAACCTGTTAAGAATTTTAGAGCATTATTTTTTTGAATTTATGGCCATAAATATTTTCATTACTATTTTTACTCTACAATAATTATATTATATACCAACAAAATCCCTTCTTTGGAGGAATTTTATTCTTAGTTACAATTTTTTTTTTTATTATGATTGTGCTCCATTGTTATTTCTATTACTATTTTTAGGTCTATGCCAATAACCCCTTTTTTTTTTTCTCTTTAATATATATCAACACCCCTTTTATTTATTTTTCGAAATAGATCTCATTTTTTGTGTGTGAATAAAAAACTGTGGGTATTTGTGTGTATTTTTATTACAATATAATTATTTTCGATATATATGTAATAAAACAAATTCTGTTATTATTTTTATTATTATTATTGTTAATAAAATTTTAATTTTATTATTTTAATATTTATTTATTATAATAAAAACATTATCTGTTTATATTAAATATTATTCAAATAAATATATATCTATATTAAATTTTTAAATGGCAAAATAACAGGCGCACCAATTTTTTTTTTTGAAAAACATAAAATTTTTTTTATTTTTCTGATTTTTTTTTATTTTTATTTTTTTTTTTTTTTCATTAAAATATAAATGTAAAGTTATAATAATAAACACTTTTTATAAATACAACTTAAACAATTAAATATATCCTTAAAATATATCTTTAAAATATAATTATTTCAAAATACGGTATTACAATATAGTAAAATATTTTATTAAATAAAAACCACCACCACCAATAATAATAAAAAAGATGCTCAGTGAATTTGGTAATGCGGTTACCCTGGTCACTGGATTAATGCTATATGGGCTTTATGTCTCAAAAAAAACACCATCAAATAATATATCAAAAATAGACAATAAAACAATAAACGAAAAAGAAATGGTCAAAAACAACAAAAATAACAGCAATAATAACAATGTAAGTACTAAAATACCTTTATAAATATTAAATATTAAATGAATACTAATTATTAATATTTACTATTTATATTTTCATACTTTAATTTCTCCACTACTCAATACTTTAGGATAGTATTTATATAAAGAGCAACAGTATTTTCGACTCCAACAATCAAATAAAAAGAAGGTTATTTGATTAAATTTAAACAATAGTAATAATAGATATAATATTATATTAAATTATAACGTCCTCAATTTAAAAACTTTGTATATAGAAACAACAAATTTGTAAAATAAAATAAATAAAATAAAATAAAATTTGAAACAATTCAAAGAAATATTTATATTGTTATATTTTATTTTTTTTATTTTTATTTTTAGTTTAATCCATTATATTTATAAAGCAGTTGAAGCGGTTTCTTCTTCGCCTGATTCTTCCTCACCTGATTCTTCGCCTGACTCTTCTTGTTTATTTTCAGAAGTAGTAGTGGTAGTAGATGTAGTGGTTGATGATGGGGTATTCTCTTTATTTTGTTGTTCTTCATCTTTTTTAATTAAATTACATTTCATATCATAACCATGTTTATTGATATCTTTCCAGGTTTCGGTTGGTTCTGATAAAGTTTGCATATAATACATTTCAAGGAAACCTCTAATTGATAACCAACCTTTATCATTTACATCAAAATTTTCCTTAATCTCTTCAATTGAAACCTTATCAAATGGTTTACCATTACAACCAATTGCAAAGTTATCTAATTCTTTTTCACTTAAACATTGGTCTTTATCCAAATCGTATCTTGAAAAAATTTCTCTTAATGCAAGTTCTGCTTTTTCGCTAAAAAAATCTTCATCTTTATCAATTAATTTAAATGCAGTTGATGGTTTCTTTTTTTGAATCTTTTTACCCATTTTATTTATTTATGTATTTATAATATTATTTATATTAATAATAAAAAAAAAAAAAAAAAAAAAAAATATTTTTGGGAATAAATAAAAAAAAAAAATTAAAATTAAAAAAATTAAAAAAAAAAACGAAAAACTATTTTTTTTCTTTACTAAAAACCTATTTAAATTAACTTTTAAAACTAAAATAAAATATCAACTTTACATCCTATAGTTATTTTTTAAAATTTTTTTGTTTTTTTCATTTTTTTATTATTTTTATTTTATATTATTATTATTATTATTTATATTATTTAATTTTTTACATAATCGACTGATAATTGTGGATTTCTAATTACTGAAATACCAGAATCTTTTCTAATTTGATGGCATGAAAATAATTCGTGTCTAAAAGTGTCGTTATAAAGTTTGCTTTGAACGTAGGCAGTTTTATTTGGGCTTGATCTTGGGTGGAATTTAACTTTACCACATCTTCCCATTGAAAATCTTTTGACTGCTGATGATTTAGTTTTTAAACAATAACTTGATGCAACTTTGTATCTAACAAATTCTGAAACCTAAATTATAACAATTATGATGATGATGATGATGATGATGATGATGGTGTCGTCATAAGTTTATTATTTATTAAAGGAAGTATTATATATATATTAGAACATTTGTGATGTGTGTTTAATTTAATTATTATTTCATATTATTCCACAATTGTGTAATTACATTTGTTTTTGAATATAATTGGGTAATGTTTGATCTAATACAATTGAATACTGAATTCATTTTATGTATAAATATAATTAATAATGGTAATATTAATATGCAATGAAATGTAAAAATAAAAAATTGAAAAAAAAAAATTGAAAAAAATTTAAAAAAAAAAAAAAAATAAAAATCAAATAAAAAAAAATAAAAAACAAAAAAATAATTTTAAAAAAGTATATAAAATTAGTATTATTTATCTTTCCTTTTTTTTAATATATTTACTTATATCTAGAAATTTCAAATATTAAGAAATTCAAATTATAAAAAATTTTACCATAGTGTTTACAACCAAATATGTTTATCAAATAACTGTTGGATCATTTTGTATCTTCAGAAATCAAAATCTGAAAACAGGTTATCCTAGTGCGAACATGGGGATCAACGAACCAACCTATAAAACAAAGATTATAAAAATACAAAAAAACCATGGTTAATAGCACTCAACTCTTTAATATTTTATTAATAATAAATAAAATCAAACAGAATCCTTTTTTTTTTTTTTAAAAAAAATTACAATTTATTTTTTTTTTATTTTTTTTTTCTTTATATAAATTTATAAACCTCTACAAAAAGTCTACATCTTTCTTTTGAAACTATTTAAATTATTGAACTTTACATGGTTGGATTTGTTTTGTTTTTTCTTTTTTTTTTTTTTTTTTTTTAAGTTATTCTTGTGTTTATTCGATCTTTGGGGCTAAGAAGAAACCTATTTGGTTATTTAAATAACTGTTAGTATTTGTTAAAAAAAAATCAATAAAAAAATCAAAATATTTACCTAAGTAACCTAAATCTTCAATTTTGTATTCAACAACAACTGGAATACCTTCAGACATTTTAATGACAACAGTTGGTGAGAGTGGAGTAGCTTTGGTGAAGTTGCTAAGGAATTTTAAGGCAAAGTTGAGAACAACTGGTTCTTTTGATTCAATAACAGTAGCTTGTTCAGCCTAAGTATTTTTTAAAAAAAAATTATTATTAATAATTATTTTTATAAATAAACATAAAAAAAACATTAACTTACACTAACATCTGAATCAGTAGTTGGTCTAACAGTAATGTTACCTGAACCACTGTCACCAGAAACAGAGAATTTAACACCATCTTTATTTGAGCTAATAGTAACAATTTCACCAATAACTGAAAGATCTCTGCAGATTCTTTGGAGTTCACTTGATGGCATTTTAATGACAGATGAGTATTCTGAATTACGAATGGTATATTGTTCATTTTTGATATCTAATAATTTAACTTCGAAATCACTAACTCTGTCATTCTCTATAGTAATAAAAATAAAATAATTAATATTAGTATATTGATATTATTTAAATATATAAAATATAATTTTACATACTTGGACTTTCAAAGACAAAGGTAACGGTATCAGCTTCATTGTCACGAGCTTTAATGGTAAGAGCATCATCATTACCAGCACATTTAAGAATTTTTGAAAGTGAAACAAGAGATAAACCAAGGGATAATGATCTGTCGCAATTGTATGATTCGAAACCGTCGCTACGGAGGACTAAATTGATTAATGTGACATGAGTAGTATCCATAGCTTGTAATGAAATACCTTCTGGACTGCAATCAAAGTTAGCTGATTCGACTAAATCTTTAATAGCTTCTAAAATTTTCTTTAATAAATTGGCTTGTAATAATCTAGCTTCAAACATTTTTATTGTATATGTATTATTAATATTATTATTATTATATATTATGTGTATATGAAAATAAAATAAAAGAAAAAAAAAATTTTGTTTTCAAAAAAATTTTAAAATTTAAAAAAAAAAAAAAAAAATTAAAAAAAAAAAAATTATTTTGGGAGGCAATTTTTCCACTAAATTTTAAAATTTTTTGGAGGGTTTTTTAGCAGTTGAAATATTAATTTTTTATTTATTTATAGATTATAGATATTTCTAATTATTTGTAGTTAGTGTGAGTGAGTGAGTGAGTGTGGGTGTGTTATAAATATTGAAATGTTTCTAAAATAGAGCTTTGATTATGGTATAAGTTATAACTTTTTTTTTTTTTATAAAAAATTTAATTTATATGATTGTTTTTAAATAAAACTTTTTTTTTAAAAAAAATCTTTTAATTGATATTATTTTAGTTTTTTTTAATATTTTTGAGTATTTTTATAAACTTTATATAAAAAATAAAATATAAGATAAACATTTAAACAAACAATGGATGAGCTACTATCATCTCTAATTAACTTTAAAGTAAATGAAGAGTTAAAAAACAGTAATAATATTAGTGATAGGTAAGTACAATACAATACAATCAATAAATTAATTAAAAGAATATTAATTGGTGTTTTCTCTTTTTAACTATTTATTATAGATTATTATATATAGTTTGGAATAATATATTTTTAAGAAATGAAATTCATAAACATATTTTAAAGTTTATTAAATATAATGTTGTAGATATTGATAAAAAACAATATGACCAGTTTAAAGATAAATCATATATAACAACACTTAAGTGGGGTGACGGTCCACTACCAGATAAAAATGAATTTCCACCCTTTTTGACAAATTTATATTTGTACCATTTTGATATGCCAATTTTACCATTCAGCAATACAATTACTACCCTCTCAATGGGTGATGTTTTTAACCAAGTAGTTCTACCCGACACATTACCAAATAGTCTTACAACACTCATATTCGGTAAAAAATTTAACCAAGTAATTCCACCCGGCACATTACCAAATAGTCTCACAACACTCACATTCAGTGGTTGTTTTAACCAAATAGTTACACTCGGCACATTACCAAATAGTCTCACAACACTCAAATTCGGTTATGATTTTGACCAAATAGTTCTACCCGGCACTTTACCAAATAGTCTCTCAACACTCACATTCGGTGGTTGTTTTAACCAAATAGTTCCACCTGGCACATTACCAAATAGTCTCTCAACACTCACACTCGGTGATCGTTTTAACCAAATAGTTCCACCCGGCACTTTACCAAATAGTCTCACAACACTCACATTCGGTTATGATTTTAACCAAATAGTTCTACCCGGCACTTTACCAAATAGTCTCTCAACACTCACACTCGGTGGTTGTTTTAACCAAATAGTTCCACCTGGCACATTACCAAATAGTCTCTCAACACTCACATTCAGTGGTCGTTTTAACCAAGTAGTTCCACCCGGCACTTTACCAAATAGTCTCTCAACACTCACACTCGGTGGTCGTTTTAACCAAGTAGTTCCACCCGGCACATTACCAAATAGTCTCACAACACTCACATTCGGTTCTTATTTTGACGAAGTAGTTCCGCCTGGGACATTACCAAACAGTCTCACAACACTCACATTCGGTAATTCTTTTAACCAAGTAGTTCCACCCGGCTCATTACCAAATAGTCTCACAACACTCACATTCAGTGGCTGTTTTAACCAAGTAGTTCTACCCAGCACATTACCAAATAGTCTTACAACACTCAAATTCGGTTTTTATTTTAACCAAGTGGTTCCGCCTGGGACATTACCAAACAGTCTCACAACACTCTCATTCGGTAGTCGTTTTAACCAAGTAGTTCCACCCGGCTCATTACCAAATAGTCTCACAACACTCACATTCGGTGATCGTTTTAACCAAATAGTTCCACCCGGCACTTTACCAAATAGTCTCACAACACTCACATTCGGTTATGATTTTAACCAAGTAGTTCTACCCGGCACATTACCAAACAGTCTCACATCGCTCTCATTCGGTGATCGTTTTAACCAAGTAATTCTACCCGGCACATTTCCAAATAGTCTCACAACACTCACATACGGAACTACAACTACTAATTTCCAAAAGCTGGCTCTGACTATCAACACTAAGTGAATCTAAAGAATTCCTAAACAACGACCAGATATTTCAAAATATGAAAATCAAGTAAATCAAAATAATCAAGAAGAACAAAATTTACATCAACATATCAATGAATCATTGGAGGATATATAAATGAAACAATTTTAGAACAAAACCATAATACTTAAAAGGAGCCAATTGATGCCTCACCTCAAAGATATCTATTCATTCAAAGAAGGATTATTTATTCCACAATTTGAAGAAGTAGATGCTGTTTATGAAGATGCACAAGTGTAGGAAAATACTGCACCACAAGAAGATGAAGATGAAAATAAAGTATATAAAGTGTCGAAGGAATATTCAATCGAAAAATTCATTTATGAACTCCACCATGAAATCAATAGCTCAAAAAAGATTATAATGGTGATAATGCAGATTAAGTTTTTAGCATGTAACAATCGATTGGTGAGAAAATAATGACAAATATTAATTTCCATTTGTTATTTAAGTGGCACTTGATCAACAACAAGACTCATAAAAAGATATGAATGAATAAATTAATGAAGATAAAGTGAATCAAAATGTAGAAAAAGATTTACATTAAAGTATCAATTTTCATCCTAGTTCAAGCGAGTTCTTTAGCTTAGTAGTAGTACAAGTAAGCCAATTTACAAATAATTGAATTCTAGAAAACAAGTAACTTCTCAACTACCAATTGGAACATCAAATCAAGAATGTCAAGAAACAGATGCGATCCTTCCAAACTAGATGAAAAATTAAATCCATATCAATAGAGTTTAAATATCGGTATTTGTACACTTTTGGCAGGTTCACCAAATAATCATAAAACAAATCAAATTGTCTATCAATTAAATAAAAAAAGAATAATTCATTGCATATTAGATTCTAAACCAAATCAACAAGAAAAGATATCTGTTGTGATGGACCCCATAATATTGAATCATGTAGTAAAAGATCATTTTTCTAAGATAGCGAAACAATAATTACAATCCAATTTATTTTTTTTGAAAAATTTATTTTATTTTTTATTAAATACTTTTTTTTTTTTTTATTGATTTTTTTATCTAATTAATTTACCAAAATAAGACATTTTAAATACTTTGAAATCATAATTTGAATCCATTTTAATAATACCAGTATTTTCTTCAGTTAAAATGAAAAGAGTACCAGTATATCCGGTGAGTTTACCTTTAATGATGACAACATGATCTTTCTTTAATGGAGAGACAAGGGTGAGTTGAGATTGATGTACATTATCAAATACCTCTTTGGTATCGAGTATTTCAATTTTACAAGTGGATTCGGTAGTATTGGCGAGAACGACAGCATGTTTACCATTATCTTTATAGATGACTTCAATATTTGTACCGCTCCAAAATGGTTGTTCGACCTCTTCATCGTGGTCTTCACCTGAATTTGGTGTAGCTGGAGTTTGTGGAATATTATGAGGTGTGTATGGTGATGAGGGAATTTCGTGTGGAGTATGATCACTGTAGTTCGATAAATAGGATGGTGTGGGATTATCATAGTTGTGAGAATAGGATCCCATTGGAGTAGAACGGTCGTATGGTGTGTATGTTGACTCACCATGTCTATTACCATCTAATGGTGTAGTTGGTGTATATGGTGAGTATAAAGAATAGTTTGTTCCTGGAGTGGTATCGTCATTGTTATTCATACTATTATTGGATGAGGATGATGATGAATAGTAATCGGATGATTCACGCATAGCCCATGGATCGTGATTATTGGAACGAGCAGGTGTATTCATACGCATTGGAGTTTGAGATGGATCTTCACGCATTGGAGTTCTACCAACATTGAATTCCCAGTCACTATTATTGCTAATTGGTTGTTGAGCACGTTCGTGTGGAAGAAGAATATTGGCTCTCATTACATTGATTCTCTTTGAGTTTGTTTGAAGTTCGACTTGAACCATAGTTTCTGTACATTCTTTAACGATACCAACATAACCTTTCCATGGACCACTTTTTATAGTAACAACTTTATGTAATGGTGAATCCTCTCTTCTACCTCTACCGCCACCATGGCCACCTCTACCGCCACCTCTACCACCACCAAAGCCACCTCTTTGTGATTGATTTTGTTGTTGTTGTTGTTGAATATTGTTTTGCTTATTTTTATTACCACCCAATAATGAACAATATTGAGTTCTAACTACAAATACACCACCATTTTCAAATACATCTTTGGATTTTATGAATAAAAAGTTTCTAGAGATATGAAGAATGGTACCTTGTTTACCTTTATATGAACCATCAACCACTTCTATTAAATCGCCAGACTGAATTGTATTGTGATGTGTATCTAATGTTGTGAATGATTTATTTCTTCTTTTACTGCCAACCTCTTGAAGTTTAACTGTACTGACATTACCGCCTTCATCTAAAATTTTGAATGAATCTCTTTCAACCTTTGTGATAACACCAACTTTATGTGGTCCTATTTGAACTAAATCATGTAATTCATAATTGCCCAATTCCAAACGACCTGTTGCAACCTCTGTACATTCTTGTAAATCTTGTGGTTTAACTTTAATTTCTGTCATTGTTAAATCTGATAAAAGTACAACTTGTAATTCATCGACTCTTAAAACCATACCTGTTTCACCTTCATAACGACCACCAATTGCTTTAACGTGATCACCAACTTTAAAATATTTTTGTAATTCATATGGTTTAAATGCAAATGTATCCTGTGAAGTAAAATGAAAATAAATAGTAATATTAGTATTGACATATCATGATATATAACATTTTGTGAAATTTAAAATTATATTTACTTTAATATTTTGATCCAATGGGACAATTAAAACTTTATCATCTTCAACTGATTCGACAATGGCCATAAGATTTTTAAGATCACCTTGTGCAACTCTTACAGTATCACCTTTTGAAAAATGATTTGCTTTTGGTAAAATACGTGGTAAAATTGGGGCACTTGAAAGCTCTGCTGGTACATCTAGCATTGGATTTCCATCCTCATCGAGTTGTTTTTCTTCTCTATCTTGGAATTTTTGTAATTCCTCAAGGGATGGCACAACGCCATCCACAATAACACTCTGAGTTCTAAATATTTTGTAGAGGAAACCATCTTTATATTTTTCGTTATTCATAACAAATAATACACCATGGGATGCTGTTGTTTGACGAGTGAGTGGAATTTTTAATTTTTCAACTTCATCTGGATTAAAGAATCTAGCTTGTGGACGAGTTCTCTTTCTTTTACCACTCTTATTTTTATCACCTTGACTATCTTTATCTTCTTTATCTTTGATTGATTGTGCAATTGCCGGTAAATCTAAACGTGGGATCAATTTGACAGTGATACGTGATCTTGATGAATCACTACTAACAATTTGACCAATATCTGCTTTATATTTACCCAATTTAATTCTAACCCAGCTTCCTTTTTGAAGGTCTACATTCTTCTTATTGGCTGAAAGAATCTCTATTATATCTTTGAGTGGTGTGAGAATTGGTGTGAATGATACTAATGAGGTTACACCTTTGATTGCATTTCTAACATGAACCTCTCTTTCGGCTTCAACATAAACATGACCTGGTAAATGTTGTGGTGCCATCATTGATTTTACTAAAATTCTATCAGCTGGTGGTCCTCTTTGGTTGTTTAACATTTTTTGCATCATAGAGGCCACAAACATCTTTTCTTCACCAAGACGACACTTTAAACGCCAATAACTTTGCTTTGGTATATCTTCCTCCTCATATTCTTCATATTCTTCGTGATCTGAATCTTGATTGGCATATTTCTGTTCAAATTTGGAAAGAACTTCGTCATAGTTATAGTTGTTGTTGCTCCTTAATGCATTGTATGCCCTTTGATCTTTCTCTTTTTGATTGCTGCCATAATGCTCTTCGAAATCGTCGTCGGCATCCTCATCATCCTCGTCCTCCTCGTCGTCATCTTCATCAATTTCTGCTTCATCTTCGAAAATGTTATCAGTTTTTGATTTAAATTTCTTTTGGTTTCCACCGCCTACTTTAAAACCATCTTCTTCTTCATCTTCGTATTCTTCTAAATCTTCTTCATCTTCTTCATCGTAACTTTCTACTAAACTTTCATGTTCATCATCTGACATTTCTCTCTTTTCCTTTTTTTTTTTCAAATATATTTCCTTTTTTTTTTTTTTCTATAATTCTATGTGGAACTTTATTTTTTATTGAGTTATAATAATTACTATTACTATTACTACAAATTCTAAATTATTTGTATAACTTGAATAACTAGCTAAATATTCCAAACAAATACTATATCTTTTTAAAACCAGTATAATTGAAATAATGAAATTAAAAAAAAAAAAAAAAAATATAAATACCTGCCAAAAAAATTTAAAAAAATAAAAAAAAATTAAAAAAAAAATAAAAATAAATTTTAAAAAAATAAATTTAAAATTTTTTTTTTTTTTTATTTTTTTATTTTTAAATTTACATATTAATTTTAAAATCAAATTTTTTTTTTTAAGGTTTTCTAATTATAGCAATGGTCAAATCAATTAAACTAATCACTGTATATAGTTATGTTGTCATCAAAATAAAATCAATCCCTAATTCTGACAAATCACCTTAAAATATGTCACTTCCACAATAACCTTTCAAATCATTGTTTGGAATATGCAGTCGCTTTTATTAACACACAATTATTTTTAGATATTTTAATTTTAAATATTATTATTATTATATTAATAAATTCTTTTAAGCTTAAAAGAGTAATGGAGGAATATTCGAGGAATATTCAAATGAATATTTTTCATTGAAATGGGGGTGAGTCTTATTTTTTTTAAAACTGTAAAGAGAGAGAAAATAGTAAAACCAGAAACTCCAATGATTTATTCAAGAGATACCAATGTGGATCTTGTACAATATCATTTAAAAAAACAATACACATTTTTTCTTTTTGTTTAGTTTAAAAAATTATTTTATTTAATTTATACTATAAAATTAATGTTTTTATTTTTATTTTTTATGATGTTATGTTATTACAAAAAATATTCTAAAAATATAAGACTATTATTATTATTACTATAACTATTATTGTGGTTATTGTACTTTCTATACGTTATACGGTTTAAGCTATAATACTACTACTATTTGAAATTTTTATATATATATATATATTTATTATTTTTTTTTTATATGATTTTTTTTTTTTTTAATATATAGTTATATGTGTTGTTTTATACAATTTTTGGAACTGGTTGATTATTTTTTTTATATAACTCTTGATATGTATCTATGGTTTTCTTGAAATCTGATTCATTATTTAAAATTTGATAGATTTTGGCGATATCTAAAATGAGATCTGCAAGTTTTAAATTGTTTTCACCGTGTATTTTCTTCCAAATTTCAAAAGAGCCTTTATAAAGTTGAATAGATTTATCGAATTCGTTTGTGGTTGTATAAAAATAACCTAAACCTAATAATGCAACAGCCATTTCTTCTTGGTCTTTGGATTTTTCGGCTTCAGCTAAGGCTCTAGTCAAGTTTTTACCGGCTGTTTCGTTATTTTTACCAATTGCTCTCATGCCATTTAATAAGCAGAGCATTCCCATAGAAGGTGTTGGTGTATTACCTTGTTGATCTTGGTTGATAGTTGATAACTTTTCAAACAATCTAACTGGTGATAAAATTGTTGGTTTACCTGTTTGTTGTGTTGTAGTTGACATATCTTTTTTTTTTATAAAAATAATATAAATATAATTTGATAATTGAAATTTTATTAATATTAATAAAAAAAATAAAATAAAAAAAATGAAAATAAAAAAAAAAAATAAAAAAAATGAAAATAAAAAGGTTTTGGAAATTTTATAAAGACAAAAAAGAAACAACAACAACAACAACAAAGTTTGAATTGCGTTTTAAATGATGGTATATAATATAAAAAACACAGAAATATTTATGTGTTATTATTAATTTACTTTTTTTTTTTTTTTTTAATATTTTAATAATAAAATGATAGAAAAAAAATTAAAAAAAAATTATAAAAAATTTTGAAATTTTTTAAAAAAAAATGTTTAAATATAAAACACCCAAATTCAATTTTTCATATAAAATTTTTTTTTTAATCACACACCCACCATCATTTTGATTATTTCATTAATAATAATAATAATAATAATAATAAAAAAACAATCATTCAAAATATAATAACTAGTTCTTTAAAACAATCATTCAATTTCATTTATCTTTTTTTATTTTTATTTTTATTTTTTATAATAGTACTATGATCAAAATTAAGAATAAATAAATAAATAAATAACAAATTTTATTTACAATCTAAAAATAAATATACTTTTTTTTATAATTACTTTTTATTATTTTTTTTTTTTTTTTTTCATTTTTAATTTTTTTTTTTTTTTTTTTTAAAGAGATAGAGAAAAGAGATTAAAAGAAGAAGAAGGAGAAAAAATATTTTTTCTATATAAATTCTAAAACTTAGATTAATGGGTATTTATATTTTTTAATAACATACACATACATAAATACACATACATATATAATTAAAAAAGGTAAATTTACATCGATTTTTTTAAGTTTTATTTATAAATAGAAAATATTATTATTATTACCATCAATAGTATCATTATTTTTAATACTAGTATATAAATCAAGTTATTTTTTAATATGTATATCTAAATATATAATTTGTATAATTATTTATCTATCTTTTTGTATATTTTTGTGTTTATTTATTTATTTAAATTATTTAATTTATTCAAATTTAATCAAAAATTGGTGGTAATGTTGGTGGGTGTAATAATTAATGGTAATAATAATAATAATAATAATAAAAATAATAATTAGAAAAAAGTGTGTAGGAGGGCAGAAAAAGTGTGTTGGGTTTATTCTCTTTTTTTCTTACCACCCATTCACTCTAACATATACTCACACACTCACACTCACACACTCAATAAATTATAAATATTATTTCAACAGCACACCCACTCAAATATATTACACACCTTCGTACTCTCAAAATGTTACCAAAATAGTTAGTGTGAGTGTGTGAGTGTAGTATTTTTATATAAAAGTGTGTATAATAAAAAAATTATAATATTTACATATAATTAGTTATAATCAGAATCATATATAGAATTCATGTTTTATGTTCATTAAAAAAAAAAAAAAAAAAAAAAAAAAGCAATAAAAATAGAATTCTATATATGATAATTTGAATACCTCATAAAAGTATTTATTTTAAACAATTTAATAAAAATCAAAATAACCACTAATAATAATAATAATAATAATAATAATAATAATAAAAATAATAAAATTAAAATATATATATTTTTATTTATTTTTTTTTATTTGTTTTTGTTTTTGTTTTTCTCCATATTATATATCAATAATTATATTTTATTAAATCGAAAAATATATTGGTTATTATTTTATTTAATTAAGGTAATAAATAAAAAATTATATCTTTATTTAATTCTATTCTTGTTTTTATATATTTTTTTAAAAAAAAAAAAAAAAAAATAAAATAAAATAAAATAAATAATTAAATAAAATAATAATTTAAAATAAATATTTTAAAAACAATAATTTTAAATAATCAAAATATAATATAATAAATAATAAATAATAATTATAGTATTTAATAATTAAATAATTAAAATTTTAATTTATGACATTATAAATCATTAATTAAGGTATATATAAAAAATAATTTTGTGCAATAATAAATAAATTTGGATGTTATATTTTTAACTTTATAAAAATTAAAAATAATTCCTATTGTGTGTTTTAATTATTTGATTTTTTTTTTTTTTTAATTTTTTAAAATAAATCAATAATATAAATAACAAAAAGATAAAAGAAATATTTAGTATTGAAAAAAAACTTAACCATTATTAATAATTCTATAAATCATCTGCGATAACAGAATATTTTTTAGTGTTTGTGTAGTATACATGTATAGTATATAGCTAGTTTTTAGAAGAAAAATCAATTTGTTTTGGACTATAGCTATAGGTTACAGATATTTATAACTATATGATTGGATTAAAAGAATTATTTAGGTAGATAGACAAAAGAGATATTTTTTATTTGTTTGTTTAATATTTTTTTTTGTTTTTATAATTATTTTTTGCTGCATATAAAACAAGACAATTATAATAATGATATCACAAATGTAGCGGTAACAATAACAACAGTGCAAGAGTAACTACAATATAAAATAACAATAATAAAAATAACAACAATAAAATAATAACAATATTACTAATCATTATTATTATTATTAATCATCCTCAACTACACAGATACAAACACACACACCACTACTATAATCATTGTATCATCCCAAAGAAAGATAAAAAAGATTAATCACAAAATAATCATTTATTATTTTATTTTTTTTTATTTTTTCATTCACCACCCTTATTTTACTTTTTTTTTTCCTTTTCCTTTTCTTTTTTTTAATTTTAATTTATTTTTTTTTTTTTTCATTTGACATTTAGTTTATAGTTAAATATAATTTAAATTAATAAAATTTTTATTTATAGGTTAATAAAACATTAAAATAAATATTTATTTTTAATTTTGTAAAGGTAACTTTGCATTTTTTTTTTTTGTTTTTTATTTTTGTTGGGGGGGGACCAAAAAAAATAATTTTTTTAATTTTTTTTTTTAAAAAAAAGTTTAAAAACGCAATCTCAGAGGAGATCGCATGGGATTTTTTTGTGTTACCAATTTTTTTTTTTCTCTCAGTAATTTTCAAATAAACA